GAGTGAGTGAGTGAATGAGTGAGTGATTGAGTGAGTGAGTGAGTGAGTGAGTGAGTGAAGGAGGGAGGGAGGGAGTAAGTGAGTAAGTGAGTAAGTGAATGAGTGAGTGAGTGAGTGTGTGTGTGTGTGTGTGTGTATGTGAGTGTGTGTGTGTGTGTGTGTTTTGTGTTTGTGTGTGTATGTGGGGGTGGGTATGTTTATCTCTAACAATTTGAAGTAGCAAAATATGTAGCTTAATTACTGTTTTCTCTCATTTACCACACAGAATTACTTCCATCTTTAATTCTCTTGTCATGATCATTTAATGGAGAAAATAAAAATCAACAAATAAAGCAATCGACTACAAAATTACCAACAAAACCTATCTTTTCACCCCACAATTGCCACCTTCACTTAACACTAAAAATAAACGACATGAAAGTATAACTCAAATACTTTTACTTTGTATATCTTATAATCATTTTGAAACTATTACATAACACAAATGAACAGAACAACAACGGAAAGGATCAAAGGCCTTATTTACCATGTTTTGACAAGGGTAAAATTATACCAAATTATTTATTACACCAGCTAACGCAGATGCAAATCAACTGAACAAAAAACAATTCTTCAGAGTGACAAGACTTTTTTTTAAACCTTTGCAGTAAAAGACAATTTTAAGTGTACAACCCCCTTTGGCAGTACACTAAACAACAAATTTTGACAAAATAATGCCCAGAAAGCAGAAATAACAAGAAAGAGCATAGGCCTATGGTTTTGATCCATTGGTCAGTGAAAGACATGGGACTATTATATGCTGAAGTGGAGAATGTCAGAACTGTTACCGGTGCAGAGTAAGATAGAACTGTCAATAGAGTTTAGTAAAATGTAGGTGATAAAAATAACGAGAAAAATGTTATCCTTTTCCTCATTTTGTTTTGGTTTTCTGTTATAAGCAGTCTGATAGGCAGACCAGCTGTAGAGAAAAATAAATAAGAAGAATTCAAAATATACTAAAGAGACAGCAAACGTCATCAGAATGTTAAACAAGACAGTCATTATTTCATCTTGCTAATCAACTCAGTTTGAATAGCTACAAAGGAATTATTGTACAGCAATGGCTCTTTGAGGTCTTTTTCAGTTGCCAACTGAGATATATTTATGTTTTCCTCTTCTCATTGTATTGGGGGGGGGGGGGGGGTTATATGTTGTT